TAACCATTACTAATCATCAATATTCAGGCTTCAGGAAGTACAAATCATGTGCAGACCAAATTGCAACGCTACACATCGCATCATCATAGAACAGAGCATAGAATGCCAATCAGCTCTCTACCTCAACTTCATCGACTTCGAGAAGGCCTTTGACAGCGTCGACCGAGAAGTAATTTGGAAACTGCTTCAATACTACGGAGTACCGCAAACCTTTATCAGCCTCATTCAACAACTATATGAAGATGCCACATGCCAGCTAAGTAATTCACAATGGGAAGCTCACTGATGCCTTTGAAGTGAAGTGAAGACAGGAGTGAAACAAGGTTGCCTACTATCCCCCATGATATTCCTGATTGTGGTGGACTGGATCATGCAGCAAACAGTAGGCAGCGAGAAGAGGGGGATACACTGGACTGCGGAAAAGAACCTAGAAGACTTGGATTTCGCCGATGACTTGTGCCTAATGTCACACAAACTTGAAGATCTACAGGCAAAAACTAACAAGTTGCAGAAGAGGTGAGGCAGCGAAGACGGGACTTCAGGTGAATATGGAGAAGACAGAGGTGATGAAGATACCCCACCAACAACTCCAACAACAACAACAAACTCCAATCACTGTCAACGGGAGAAACTTGAAGGAAGTAACCTCCTTCACTTATCTAGGAAGCACTGTTTCAACTACAGGCGGGACGGACGAGGACGTCAAAGTCAGAATTGGAAAAGCAAGACAGGCCTTCATTAGCCTGAAACCAGTGTGGGAATCTTCTGCACTCAGCATGCGGAACAAGATACGGATTTTCAACACCAACCCAGTCAAGTCAGTGCTTCTGTATGGTTCAGAGACTTGGCGCGTCACGAAAGGCATTTCCAATAAACTACAGACATTCATCAACAACTGCTTACGCTCGCTACTGAAGATCAGATGGCCAGAAAGAATAAGCAACAAGGAGCTCTGGGAACGAACCAACCAAGAACCTATCACGCAACAAATATGCAGGAGGAAGTGGAGATGGATTGGGCATGCACTGAGAAGGCCGACTGAGGACATCACGCGTCAGGCCAGTTGCTCGAGTGGAATCCCCATGGGAAGCAACGAGTTGGACGTCCGAGAGTGACATGGAGGAGGCCGTGCGAGGAGGAAATGAGAGCTTGTGGGCTGTCGTGGAACCAGGTTCAAAAGATCTCAGAGAACAGAGGTCACTGGAGACGTACTTCTGAAGCCCTATGTTCCACTAGGAACCCAAGGGACTAATAATAATAATAATAATAATAATAATAATAATAATATCAATATTAGTAGTATGATAACACCAGCATTATGAGTGACTAGGGGGTTGTAAACGTGTAGAGTCGTATAATTCAAATACTGTTCACTCTCATCTATCGAAATTATGAATAGTTTTCATAAGAAACTGGCATTCAAGTATCAAAGTATGTATCATTGCATAGACTTCGATGTGATTGATAGAAGGCAAGCATTTATTGCATGTAGTGAACGTGTTACCGAAGTAAAGCTCAGTAATATGCATCAAACGTTGTCATATTTCCTGTAGATGATGAATTTATCTTCATTGTTGAAACTGTTAACTCTTACTTTTCATCCATAGATCCTGACTAAGAAATGGAATGATTTGAAACTATCACAAGCTGTAAATGTCCATCTTTGATGTGTATTGTCAGAAGTCTAATCTGGGTATATATCTTTTCAAAAGACCACAGAGGGTTACAAATAAACTTTAACTTTTGATTTTTCTACACTTTCAACAAAATAACAGTGAATCTGCATATATTCAATGTGCTAAAATTGATAAGTAACTCAGTGTTTTCTGTTTACAAACATTCATTTTTATGTATCCAATTCATCTATATTGTAAACAGTTTATCTGATCTCTCTTTTCATTGTAATCCTGAAACAGGTACAAAAAAGTGGGACTTTACACTAAAGTATACTATTTCAACTTTAAACACCGTTGTTTTCAGACTAAATTGATGTATCCGAATATTTGTTGGTTTTCCTAATAATGAAGTTATATCCTATCTAGAGGAAGCCAACAAAAGGTTTCATTTATCAATTTCACCATTTCCTTAATATAGGTGTAAAACTTAGATACTGTGGTAAAATTCAATCATATATTAGATTTTTTTAAATTTGATTTATAACGCACAGTGATGTTGTATTATTTACTTGATGACAGCGTTTCGAGCATGAATTATTATTACTAATAATCATATCAATGTGATCACACTACTTCCAATATTTGATTCTTATAGTTATGTCACCTAATATTATTTGTTTTCTTATTGGTAGTAACATTTTCCGTATCTCTGGTATAGGTGTTAGGTCACTGTTTCTATTACATGTGTTGGGTGTTGATTCGATGAACAGGGATTCAGTAATTACAAATTACATTTGACTTAAGTATGATGATTTTATCCCATCCATTCTACTAAGTAGTTGTGTGTTAATGCATATATTGCAATAGCCGAGTATTTTTCCAGATGATTGATCTTATTGATGCTTTTCACGCTATATTTAGCTAAATTCCTATGTTCGCCTATTCTGACTGACTCCGACCAGTTAGTTTAACCTACGTACTTGGCCATGAAATTTGATGGATTAGATCATTTTTCTATCGGATCCTTAAGTCAGCAAACGAAGCTTATCTCTGAATCAGTCTATAGATTTAAATGCCACCCGAATTTCAGCTTTGTTGAGGATCCTACGTAAGGTTTCTTATGTATCTTCCTTGTAGGGTAACACAGTAGAGGTTGTGAAATCCTTTCTACTTGTGTCGCCGTTATTATTCACTATTTCTACCTGCAGAAAGATATGCCGCTACTGACTATTGTGAATTTTAGCACAAAATTTGTGGATAGTTTGAGTAGGTAATTATGAAGCTATTATGTGATACTGTCAAGCTAATCCTATTGTTATACTTTTTAAATCCTGCAAAGGACTGTACATATGTAGTGAATAAACTGATGGTAAGAAAATGGTTATTCTTAGGTTGATACAGCAATTGTCGAAATGTTCACAAAAGGCAGAGTTTAACTCGTTTTAATATCTTTATGTTTCAACCTACACTTTTTCATTGTGTGACATCTCAGTTCTTGATGAACTTTGTTTTATTCATTTGGCAATGATCCATAAGACATAAACATTCAAACTGAAATACTGTCTAGTGTTCATTGGTGATATGTTTCGAGATGAGATTGCTTGAAATCCTTATGGGGAGTCGTGACAGTTGGAGTAAACCAAGCTGAATGTAAGGACAGGTACTTCGTGATGGCGTTGGATGAATATCGTGTTATGTCTCAGATTGATAGAGATAGGAAATGTGAACTCCTAGGTTCTGATTTATTAGTTCAATGATAACATGGTGGTCATGAAACTTGAAGGTCATGGGAGTGCATTGCTGATGGATCCTTTACTACGATAAAATAGCTATCGAATGCTCTCAGGATTCAAATACTTTTCAAAATGATATTAGTTCGTTATGAATCCAACCTTTAGAATTTTCATTATCACCTCAGAGTGTTAAATATATTAAAACGTGATTTTTGTGAATCATCCCCTATAAAACGAGTTTTTATTTCCTAAATTAAATATAACCATAGTCATGTTCTTACTGATTGAAGTACAGTTCCTATTAACTTACTAGTTATTTCAACTTGACAGTAAATAGGAGTAATTTTATTCATGAAACTAGAAATTTCATAGCATTTTGAAAGTTATTCGTTGAATATTTTACCCAATCTGTTATCGAAGAGACATCTTTCAAAGAATGAACAGTATTCATGGTACCAGTGGTCAAACATTGAATCAAATGAAGAATCCCTTAGCTCAAGTATGCTTTCTATGCAACACTTATTTCCTTCCTATTGTGTTGATAAACTAACATGTATAACAAAACAGTGCTTTTTTGATACAACTTCATCGTAAACAATATGTATCTTGAATGAGATTTTTTTGTTATTCAGTTAATTTCTCACTTTTTCTCTCCATACTTCTATGATTGACATGTAATCATGTTTTGTTGAATAAGGCTACTTTTTATGTGAACACTTTGAAGTTTAAGAATGTACTATGAGTACTGATTTTTACTTCTAGTTGAAATGGTTGAACTGTGGAAGTGTTCGGAAATATGTTGAGTAAGAAAGAAGTGTAGAAGACGTTGCTGCCGTGTGATACTCAGCAATGGCTTAGGTCTTTTACAGAGACTAACACTAAAAAGGTAATGGTTTTTGAGAATATTCTCAAGTAGGATGAACCACTGATAATGCCTCAGAACATTTTTAGCAAGAGGTCAGCATGCCCACAACCAATGAGGTGAAATATTACTGATGAAGACAACTGTGGTACTGGCTGATGACTGGACATCAGAAGTGCTTCTACCTGATTGTAGCAGATAACTTCTCACTTGATTTCGTAATGAAGGAGAGAAATTCTTCTGTGACAGTGGCATCGGAATCAGCTGACTACCGTCCAGTGCAAGAACTGACTTATTTGACGACTACTTTAGGTTCGAGAACGAAAATCTCCGGAAAATCAGTCATTATTCCACCTATGTATTATCAGTTTATGACTCTGAGAATCTGAAAGAATATCCCTGAATATATATATTTGAACGTTAATTATTTATGAGTGGGGTTCTTTCAGTCTCTGAGAGAAGTCTACTTGGAAAAAAAGCGTGGATACCTATAATATGCCTAATCCTAAAGGAATAACGAAACTGATTGCTATGACCACTAAATTGTGAGACAAACAGATATGCAACAGTCATAGACATGCAATTTGTTAACATTTGTGGCTAACTCATGATTGTATCTGTTTATCTCGAATTCAAGAAATTTTCTCAATGGTTGAAATTACTTCTCTGGGGACAGGTATAAATCTCTTTTGACCTATACAAATAATATGTGTATAATTCTTTATTGTATATAGGCACCTATTAACACGGACATTGCAATAGAATTTGTAGAAATGTGTCTCTGTTTAATTGTGTACACGTGTGCCTACGGATATTTCTGTCATATATATATATATATATATATATATACATGCATATGAGTGTATATATGTATCACTGACAATACTGTTTGTCTGTACTGGGAGAGGATGGGATTGAAAAAGAGCACAATAATACTTTTCATTGATTCAAACTATAATACACGTGTAAAATAAACCCAATCCAACTGGATTATTGATACAATCAAGTAATAATCACAAATAATAACACTAATTACACACTGATAGTTTAAAAGATAAACGATATTTATTACAGATACATTTTTCCTAATTATTCATTGGCTAAATATGCTGTTTGCCATTACATGACCTTGAATAATCATAGTTTTAAACAAAATTTTTGAATCATCATATTCATTATATGTATAGTCATAATTCTCAGTATTTCTAACTAACTAGGGTTTATTGTATTCATTAAAATTTAATTAATTAATAAATAAATAAACAGACAGACAAACGGATAAACTAGAACAAATTTTTGGTCTCAATTACTCCAGTATTGTTTGTGTCTGTTTGAATATAATGAAGAAGTGAGAACTTGTTCAATTTATTCAACATTGGAATACAATTCATTCTAGAAAAATATTGAATAATTTATTTGAAAACGAAACAAATTATTTGCCTTTCAATCAAAGTGAAAATAATCAACAAGAAAGATAAATAGATACTTTCAATTTAATAAATATTTCTGGGAATATTTATTTGAATAAAAAATCTTTCTTTATCATTATTGTTGGTGTTTTAAAAAAAGAAAAAAATATTATTATTGTTATGTCAAATAGTACAAAGTGTAATCCTATGGCAATGATTGATTTAAAGAAATCAAATAATCAAGATAGTGATGCATTGGACACAGTTATAGTACCATTAAATTCATCAACAACAACTTCTGTAAAAGATCATGAATCAAAGAGTGGAATTTCTAAACTATTATATCTACTACTAATTTTATTACTTGCCTTGATTTTATTATTTTTAATTGTTGCTATCATCATTGCAGTCTACTATTCAAATGCTTATCATAAATGTCAAGTTTCTAAAGGTCAGTTGATTCTTTCATTGATTATATATATGTATAATCTGTTATTAACTCTTGCAGCAGTTGTGGTAATTTAATTGGTTGTGGCTAGCTGAAGAATCCAGAATAAACGTTTCATCCCTTTTGGAGTTTCGTCAGCCGGATGTACTTTCACTGGATATGTTTAGGAGCCTATATGCTAATAGAAGTTGAACAATTAGACCTAGTAAAACCATATCAATAAATAGTAATAACCAATGCTCATTGTACAAGAGGTGGCTATCGTGCCTCCATGCCTTGGAGTTTGAAGCGATTGGTATGAGGTTCATATCTGAGTGAGAACAATATCACTCGGTACTAGAGTGTAGGTACATTTAGCTGACGAGTACCAAGTAGGATGAAACGCGCGTCTTGGATTCCTCTGTCAGCCACAACTAAATGAACTACTATAAGTGATGTTCAGACAATATCGAGGGAGCCGCATATGAGCTGATGTACCAATATGGTTGGGAAATTCAATCCAGTCAAACAAGGGAGAACTACAAACATATCAATAAATAGTAATGCAGTAACAGTTGTTTCTACATGCTGCAATTTACTGATATTTTACCATGTAAATGATGTTGAATTCAAAACCAAGTCAGTGATAATCAATCAGTGACAACTTCTATTATCCTTTCGAACAAAAAAAATTACTAATCAACACAATTGATAATTGTGATGTTGATAACTGCGTCAGCAATTGGTCGTTTAAGCTTACTTGGTATAGTACCAGACTGGTAACCTGTAGGTTGCTGGTCCAAATTTTGCCATGGTTACGATTTTTATTTCACCTTCAATAACCGGTCAGTATCAATATATATAAAGTAACAGTGAGCAAAGTTTCTGTAGTTTCTTTCACTTTTTAGAATCATACTGTGATACATCAGAAAGTTGCTTAGCTTATGAGGTTGATGATGGTCATTTCATCTGTAATGGGGTATTAATGTCTTCATAGATAACTGACTGTTTAATAAATCACAAGGAAAATATAGGAACAAACCAGTAAGAAGAGCTTAGTGACTTAGTTTGATTCAATATACGATCACTTAGTAAACTTGTTGAAGTTATTACTTGGAAAAAAGTATTCTGGTATGCAACAGGAGATTGGTGGCAACAAAATTATAAATAAAGATAATCAGAATAAAGATAACTAATGGATTACATTTCCGTATTGATTTTGGCTGTATACCATATCAAACACAATTCTTGGCAAATGTTTTCTACTATTTCAAGTCACTCATTGTGTAACTTGATATTCATGAGGTTATTGGTCATTTCAACAACAAGTAAGTTCATAGCTTAATGCCATACCATACTCTTAGTTTTCTGTGACAACTCGAAACCTATGAATACAACTGCAAGAAAGGCATTAAGTTGTACTCTGAAAATCTTATCAAGCTATTGGGATGGAATAAACGTGAAATCATCGAAAAACTGCATTAGTTTTTCGAGTAGATCAACCATAAGAACTGATTTCACTCGCATAATCAGTCATGTACTTTTCTGTTGTATCTAACAATAAAAACTATATATAAAAACTAATAAGGTTATCTTATGGGAAGTGAAATATAGAAGAGAATGAACTTTATATTTCTGACTATTAGTCTGATGCAATCTGCTGAAGTACACATTATGTTGAAGCTGACAATAATAACAAGGAAATGATTATATTAAACCATATCCAACTACATTATTCTCTGTGTTTTTTTTATATATGATTTTCTTTCCTGTGGGATTATTGTTGTACACATGCTTAATTTGCCACAAGTCTATGAAGTTTCTAACTGTTTGTTTGATCCGGATAAGTATGTGTGGATTGTCTAGTGGGTATTCTGTAGGTAGGAGGAGTCAGTGATTAGTGACCCTTGACTGAAAGTTAGTCATACTGAAGCAGATATATTCACTTTTTGGTGCTTATTACAGCTTGGATATTTCATTAACCTCCATTTTCAAATTTCTTCTCCTTCTATTCATCTTTGTTTACTTTGATGTCACTTTTTGTATATCCATTTGTTCTTTGCATGCTACTGTAAAATCTGGCAGGTAGAACTGATGCATTTCTTTGATACATTCCATACCATAAGTAAATAAATCCATTTTGTTGATTCTCAGACAGGAAAAACCTTTGTTCAGCATATAAAATTACTGAAAAAACTCTTATTTATGAGTATTATTAAGGTAGAAGGTTTGTGGGGCAACACAATATGTTGTCTGATAATTATCTCTTTCTTGTACTGAGATTTCCCTTAAATTAAATACCTTATGAAGATGATTGTTCTGACCAAAAAACCATCCCACTTCAGCTAACTACTTAAAATATATTAAGAGTAGTTATACGTACATAGGATTACTCCCGAAAGTATTATTTCAGTTGCATTATAAATCTTATAGCACACACTGAGAAGGCCAACTGGGGACATCATGAGCCAGGTCAGACCCTCGAGTGGAATCCAAAGAGGAAACGACAAGTTGGGTGTCTGAGGGTGACATGGAGGAGATCATGTGAGGAAGGAATGAAACCTTGTGGGCAGTCGTAACGCCAGGTTCAAAAGACTGCAGAAAACAAAGTGTAGTGGAGGCGTGCTACTGAAGAGGTATATTCCACTAGGAACCCAAGGGAAAAATTATAATAATGATAAATCTTGTATGATTGCATAGTATGTTTCATTTCAAGAAAGTTATCTGACATAAATTTCAGTGTACAGACATGATAACTGTGTAAGTTGGCAGTAATTGTCGTAAACTACAGAAGCTTATCAGCCGCGATGTTTACATCTCATCACAGGTCCAAAAAAAGGTTTAGTGTATGTCATAAATGTTAGACAGTTTTGCATAATAAATAAAGTAGAAATTATATGCTGTAGCATCAAAACTATCCGCCTCGCACATGGATTAACTGTCGTAACTCAGCAGTCTATTGGGTAATATTTTGGCGCTTCCGGTGGTAGGTTCTAGTTTTCAGTCTCAGCAGGAGCAATATCTCTCACTGCGACCCAAGTATATCCAGCTCAAAGAGGATAGGATGCGCATCCTGAATTCTAACAGCATTAAAGTTGAAACACTTTAGACGTTGTCACTGTACAATTCTCAGACTTTGGAAGATGCTAAATAAGCTTATCCTTGTTTAAGCATCATTAAGTGCTTTCATTTCATGTCTTTTGTGAAATAATGTAAACTAAAACGACACTAACATGTTGCTCTTGATGGCAACACTATCTCTTTTCAGTTACTTTATTAGTACGACAAGTTACACTCAACCAGGTAATAGGTTATATATATATATATATATATATATATAACCTCGCTTGGTTAACTAGTTCTCTAGTTACTAGCCGCTCCTAAGCCCGGGTAAACATATCTGGAAATTGAGAATTGAAATAACTTTGGATAAAGAAGACACATTTCATTGTAAAAAAGTAAATCGAAATCAGGCGGCTGACTAAAATAATTAGGATTTGACGGAGACACAAAGATAGTATGCACAATAACTGTTAGGACATTGATATTAATGACAGATAGTAGCTAACAGTGGAATCCAGGATATGTGATTCGTTTTATTTGGGACTCGTCAGCTGGATATCTACCAGCGGGTGATACTTTTCTACCTTAAGCTCAAACCAATGTACGTCCTGAATTTCACTACTGACCACTATCAATCATCAGTATACAAAACTGAAAATACCATCAATGTCAAGACACAATACATAGCAGCCCATTTATCAAAAGTGACCGATCAGAGTTGGTTCAACCAACAGTGGAAGTTTACAAGCTGTAATATTGAAACTGCTTGAATTTCGATCCGTGTACTAATCCTATTGAGGGAACAAATGTTTGGTAAAATGCTGTCTAGGAAATGCTACTGGGGTGTGACTAAGAACTTCAGTGGTGCCTACTTCCTAAATCACGTTTTTTAAGTGATGTATGCAGAAATATTATTTGTTTGGAAAAAAACTTGTAGTGTATTAACAGGTTACACCTTGATAATCCTTTAGCTACAGCGTATTATGTTAATGCCATTCAATTACCTTATTTGACCTTCTAGGAATCCATTGTATGGTTATCTTAAAACTGATAACAATATCTATACTAGAATTCTTTCTAGTATATGTAAACAGGTTAGTCATCATTAGCATGCTGAATCACTGTCAATTTCCTTTGAACGCAGTCATTTACACTTCCACCTCTAAAAAATCATTTAATTGGTGCATTGGAAAGATGTAGATTTAGACTATATATATTAAAAATTTCGCATCTTTGTTGTGTTACTATGAGATACTGATATTTCTGGTGCTTTTTAAGCTCAGAATAATTCTAATTCACCTATACCTTGTGTTTTAGTCATATCTTTCAAATATAAGTATTTAGTAATAAAGTGAATTTGGCTGGCTTACAAATGTTATGCAAAGTGTAGAGAACGACTAAAAATAGATTATGAAAGAAAAATCTCTTCTCTTCATTTAAAACATTGATTTTTCATGTATGAGGCAATTTTTATTCACCCTTGAACTGCATGCAACCACTCTCAGCACATGCTTGTACAATATCCTTCCAGTTTCACATCATTTTCAAAGATATATACTTTTTCATAGACGAAAAGAATGAAGTTTTGCTTTAAGTGAAGTCATGTTATAGTCGTAACTGAACTCTGGGTTTGTTTGCCGATGGTCTCATATTACTGGGGGTCTTCAGTAGCAAACAACAACCTGTTTAACAAAATACAAAATGCCACCTAAGTCCGATAATATTCTTTTTGTTCTCTTCAAAGATTACTATTCACACAGTAAACAGTAGCATTAACTGGATAACCTATCCGACACAATTTATTGTCCATATTCATATCACGAAGCCAACTCAACAACTTCCAGACACAATTTACATATTCCTAATTGTCTCTCCTTCTCTTTCATGATAACGGTAGTAGAATTCACCATATATCTGGCACAGATGCACAATCATTTACATCACTGCATGTGTTTCCTGTTGATTCCATAGATAAACAGAGATTCGGTTATCAGTCTCCCCCTACCTACAAACAACCAAGTTAGTTTTCAACACTGTCGCCTTATCCCACCCCATTATGTGATTGTGTGTCATCGCATTCACAGCTATAGCCGAGCAACTCTCCTCTAGATTTCTTATCTTATTACGATCTACTAATATTGATTTAGTTAAATTTTTGTGCTCTATCATTCTCATCGATCCTGACTAGTCGACTGCTTTGACCATCTATCTGGTAAACCAGATTATTTTGCTTAATTGCATCGATAGGATCCTCTAACCTATAAAGCTTGTTTCTAAGTGAGTTTGTTGGTTTGAATGCCAGCCACTTGAATCCTAGCCAGCCTTAGTCAGAATTCTTCGTAATGCTTCTCAGGTGCCTTCCTTGTATGGTAACACAGTAGAGGCTTTCAATTCTCTCTTAACCCTGTCTCCATTACTACCATTATTAGTGGAATTATGATAAACAACACTTGTATTACTACTACTACCACTGCTAACACTTTTGTTTCGATTTCTAATGAATTTATTGATAAATTTTGTTGGTTGATTGTTGAGACATGGGGTATTCTTGATGTGTCTAATTTCTTGTCACAGATTTTCCAATCTACTCACTAGTAAGCTATTTCGCTGTATCACTCAAGCATTTGACTAAGCCTACTTTAAGTGAGTGGGATGAGTGGGATGATTCGAAGTGTAGTAGTGATTCGAATGGATGGATTTCCTATAGACACTAGTCTGCAAACTTCCTCCTTGTGTTCATTTAATCTTGCAATCCAACATTGCTAGCTCACCTCCTTCACTCTCGACGTCACAGGTAAATAGGACTGCATTCACTTTTGAATTTATATGTGTCAGGAACCTGATGATGTGTTGCGACGTCAGTACTGTGAATGTGTCATCTATATATCGGAACCATATCTTTGGAGTAGTTGTAACATGTTTGAAGAGCCACCT